TGGAAATCTGACATTCTAGCTTCCTCTATACAATTTTCGAATATGGATGCAACCACAATTCAACTGGCACGCAAAATCCAATTCCATAATTCCATCCAATTAAACTCAAATCCTACAAAAAAATCCCACAATCACTTCAACATAGTATCAAATAAACTCAGTTACTCAAATCCCACAAAAAAAATAAAAATTTAAAGCTGAATTTTACTAAATGGAAATCTGACATTCTAGCTTCCTCAATCCTCTATACAATTTTCGAATATGGAGCTTATTCTGCATTCTGCAATGCCAATACTTACCATTTACCAAATTCTGAAATTCCAATTAGCCCGGATGGTGGCGGGTCTAGCGGCAGAGGCTTGAGAGTAGAGAGACGGATGTAGCTGTGCCGATTGTCGGTTGATGAGGAAGAGGAAACGGAAGAGACAAGAGACCGAGAGGTGAGACCGTGAGAATTGAAGTCTTGAAGAATGAAGATGAAAGGATATTTGAGGGTTTTTATTGGGCTTGTTGGGTTGGGACTTTTTTGTTAGGACCACTTAACATTTTCGACCAAATGGAGTGCAATGGGTTTTTTTTTTAATTTTTTGTGAGGCCCCTAAAATTTTGTGCCTTAGTGGCCTTGGGCCAGGGCCGACAATGCACCTGGAGGAAGTGAACTTTCAACTAGAACGATGTGTTAAAGAGCTGTCGGGACATCCATGCCCCTGGTAGGTCAAGGCTAACAGAGTTGGGGGAGGATGTAGATAAATTGCTGCAAGGCAATGCAGATGAAACAGGACTTTGCGAAGATGATGGGAAAGAAGAAGACTGATCTTCTCCTTCTCTTTTTAGGTTCTGAGTTGTCTCATATGTACATCTTGTACAATGTTGCCATAGTTTAGTTTGCAACTGCACTTCTTGTTTGCACATTCGGCGACTTCTTATTTTCTTTACACAACCTGAATATTAATGCACTATTTCAAAGATATGGGGGATAACTATCCTGACACTAAACTTTTCCTAATGATTTTCAATTGTCATTGAACTTGCCATTATATTTACAGGGTTGTTATTCCCTTCACCACTCGCCGTTTTAAAAGTTAATGGACTCGATGAACTTACTAGGATGTTATCCATAAAAGTTAAATTTTTAACTAAATCAAGTTCATGTTTGGTGAAGATTAGAATATGATTTTAATCTCATGTCAAAGTTAATAATTAATTTTAATCACATGTTTTATGAGATATACAATTTTTCAATAACACATTATCAACTTTTATAAAAAAATACCAAAAAATTGATTTTCATCTAGACCAAATTGGGGCATAATACAAACTAAGCCCCTGTTTGGTTCAGCTACGAAAGTAAATTATAATTTAAGTCAAAGTTAACAACCCTGTTTGAGCTCCATTAGAACCGAATTTTGGAGAGAATGTATTTTGAAATAGTGATTTTTTGAAGAATATGTAATTAAAAATTAAGGAAAAGTTTTGAAAATACGTATAATATTATTTTATTGGAGAATGTATCTATAAAAATAAGAGAGAAAAAAAAAATACATATTTGCAATAATGGAGCCCAAACAAGGGCTTAATTTCAATTATACATTTTATGGAACCTACAAATTTTCAATCATATATTTCACCATTTTTTTTTATCAAAATCTACTTAAAATATAATTTTTATCTAAACCAAATAGGGATTAAATATTGAGCCATGCTAGGGAGCCCGGATTTGCACCCAGACCGACGCCACATGGCGTCGGTCACTCGGGCTATCTATCTTTTCCCTTAAATATTTGCAGAAAACATGCTACCGAATAGTAGGGGGGGTGGTGTTAGGTGTTGTTTTCGTCAAGTCCAAATAGTTAGTGCCATATAGATATTGACAGATGGGGTTGTTTAATTGCATTAAAAATTGATAATGATATGCACAGGACCTACATATCATGTCATAAACAGTGATTTGTCACTAATTAATTGGTTATTGACAAATTTAGTTAGGCATTTAACCATAATTGTGGCAGGCCACAATCTTCTCTTTGGTTGATTTCAATGTGTTCACAAGACCACAAAAAATAATATATTGGAAAAAATTGAAAATGCAAACAAAATAAGCTTTTTGTCTTACAATAATTAACTTATTTTCATTTTTAATTAGGGTAATTAGTAAATAACGTTCCTATCTTTTACTCCTACCTTTTACTGTTATCGTGGAAAACATTATTACCTTTCATTTTTTTAGCATTTTCACCCATATTTCAACATTTCATTACGTAAAATGTCATTTTCATCAATTAAAAATTGTGAAATGATAAATATACCATCATCTTTAAATAAAACAAAAAGTAAATGAAAAAAATTAATTTTCATCTAATTTTCTAATAATATATTTGGGGCTCGTTTACATTTTTAAAAAAAAATAATTTCTAATTTTTTAATAATTTATTGGGGACTTGTTTACGCTTTTTAAAAAATTTTAAAAATATGATTGCAATTAATTACTTAGTTTTTTTTATTTAAATAGGAGGGTATATTCGTCATTTCACAACTTTTATTGAGAAATTGGATGAAAATATATAGAAATGATGGTTTGCGCAATCAAATGTGTAATTAAGGGTGAAAATGTAAAAAAATAAAAATAAAAAAATGAAAGGTATTGGCATTTTTTTGCAATAAAGATAAAATGTAGGAACTTTGTGTACTAATTACCCTTTTAATAATTTATTTGAAACTCATTTGTTTTTTTTTTTTCAAAAAGTTTGGGACTATGATTGTAATTAATTTTTTTCATTTTCATTTTAATTTATTTTAAGAGAAGAGTATATTCACCATTTTATAATTTTTAATTGAAAAAATGGATGAAAATGATCTTTTGCACAATGAAATGTGAAAATAATAGTGAAAATGTCAAAAAATAAAGGGAAAATTACCAAAAACCAGGTATTTAGTTGTGAATTTTAAAAAATCAGGTTTAAGGTTTATCTATTCAAAAATGTGGTATTTTATTTTATATATATAACCATAAATCTATCCAAACCCTACATTAATCCATTTCAGTTCTCTCAATACTGTCTCTCACTCCCATCTCTCACTACCCAAATGTAGCTCCGTCGGGAGGGGCACTACGCGTCGGCACTGCCCACAACACATGTGCGCCTTTGTAGGTGGTGGTGGATATGCGATGTGGGGCCGTTGCGCAACGAAGATCTTGGGAAGAAAAAATTGTGTTTGGTTTCGTGCATAAGGGGCATTGCTGCAATTTGGTGGTGATTCTGCGATGACGGTGAGGTGGTTTTGGGTTTGTTCGTTGGTGTGGTAGTGGCGGTTCCCGTCGATTAGATTAGGGCGATGTGCTCTCCGACGACTAGATCGGGCGAGGTGGTGGTGATGTGTGGTTGTGGTGGTTACTGAGACGATGGTGAGGTGGTTAGTGTCGCTTTGCTCTTCGTTGGTGATAGAGGTTAGTTGAAAAATGATGGTTGTGGCGATGGTTGATCGGCAGGTGTTAGTGGTGGAGGTGCCGAATTTTTGGGTTTCCTTTTTTTGTTTATGTTTGTGAGTTTCAGATTGGAGACAGTGTGGTGGTGTGGCGGCAATGTGGTGTTACTACTGGTTGTCGTGGTGTTTGGGTAGTGATGATGTTGGTGGTGGTGGTTGTCGTGGAGGCGGTGGTGGTGGTCGTGGCAACAGTGCAAAGGTGGTGGTGGTGGTGGTGGATCTAGCGATTTTGGTTTTCTGTGACTAAAAATTAATTCGTGACCTTAAAATTCATCAATCTGTGACTAAAAATATAATCCGTGACCTTGAAAAAATTTGTGACCAACTAATTTGTAAATATGTGACCGTGTGACCTAAAAATTTTGATTTGTGACCAACAAATTAACTGTGATCTACAAAATTTTTGAACCTAATAAAAATTATTATTTGTGACTGATTACAGTTTAATATTTAATTATATTATATTATAGTTTAANTTGAATCTAATAAAAATTATTATTTGTGATTGATTACAGTTTAATATTTAATTATATTATATTACAGTTTAATATTTAATTTAATATAATGATTGTGAAATATAATTAATTAATTCGTGGAAAACCTCATTTTTGCAATTTTAAAACTTGGGCCTGATTTTTGATTTCATGATAGATAACACCTGATCCATAAATTTTTTCTCAAAAATAAAAGATGTGGACGTTTTTCACAATAATAGTGAAATGTGAGAACGTTACATATAATTACCTTTTTAATTAATTCAAACAAAAGAATGAACAAAATTTGACCCACCATAATCTGAGGTCACCTTGCTCTCATTGTTCTCATTTTGATAGAGATATGGCAATCTTCCACTACTTTTTTATTCATTATGTTTAAGAAAATAAAGTCAGAAAATTGTCAAAGTCTATAAACTTCGACAATAATAATAATAACAAAACTAATACGTAAAAATACAGTTACCTGATTAAAGTCTACATATCCGATTGAATAAAGTTAGTACAAGTAAATGACATTAGAATAATATGGTATTGGTACTCAACAAGTCGAAACCTAATATTATATCAGTCTCGGCATCAATGCATTTTAATTTATTCTTTATCGACGTCATCATCAGTAAAATTAATCTAACGAAAGCATAAATAAACCAAATCGACACTTCCTTGTATTAAAAAGCACGTTTTACTCGATACTTACGCTAGAAACATAATTTCAATCAGCATTAGAATCTAAGCTCTCTCACATGCCACCATTTAAGGATCACAAGAATCTTCTACAAGAAATTCTTGTTTTAAGCCGTATATGCATGAACTAATAATAAAATATAAGATTAAAGATTACTAAATTTCGAAAACTACAGCCTCGATTGTCAATGTAAGCAAGTACACGACTACAACTTTTGACATTACTTCTTTGTCAGAGAGCATGATACCACCCCTTCCGACCAGATTTTAACTCAATAAATCTAGGAATACAGCTAAGAAACAGAGGAAAGGTCGTAAAAATGAATGAGCTTACGTTTAGGTCTTCGTTGTTAATACTCTGCTGATTTCACCTTCCCTACATACGCCCACATCTATAACCATGCCTTTTCTCTTTGATTCCAAGACTCGGCAACAATTTCTCCTCGGAGACTGCCCAAAAACAATATAAAACCAGTGTCATAATAAAGATCAAGCAAATTCGATTTGCAAAATTAATCTGCTACATAGAATTAAAAGTGATTAGCTGTCAATTTAAAAGTAACCCTCAACTTGACTTTTAATGCAAGAATTTTCTTTATGTTGGGTGCAATAGTAGTCTTAGCACGTATTTTCATCCAACGCAGAACTTGATAGTAAACAAGAGTCAATTATGAGATAGAAGGATACACATACCCTATTCCAGAGCAATGGGTCGGGTTTCTTGAGAACCTCCACTTTATCAACTTCAGCCGGGTTAGCCATCTTCCATCTGCATTTTGGATGAGGAACTATATGGCGAATGTATTCGCTCACCGTTATATTTGTACGATAATTCATTCTTGCTTTCGACATGTAAAACACGAATGGCTTTTGACACGGGTTTCTCATAACTGGCCTCGTGTTGAATGCATATGCCGTGTAATCTGCTCTTCTGTACCAATTCAAGAAAGTCCTTGACGGCATCTCCATCTCCCGGGGCGATATGGGGGGGGGGGGGGGGGGGGGGGGGGGGGGGGGGGGGTTAAATATATTATATTACAGTTAAATATTTAATTTAATATAATAATTGTGAAATATAATTAATTAATTCGTGGAAAACCTGATTTTTGCAATTTTAAAACTTGGACCTGATTTTTGATTTCATGATAGATAATACCCGATCCATGAATTTTTCTCAAAAATAAAAGATGTGGACATTTTTCACAATAATAGTGAAATGTGAAAACGTTAGATGTAATTACCCTTTTAATTAATTCAAACAAAAGAATGAACAAGATTTGACCCACCATAATCTGAGGTCACCTTGTTCTCATTTTGATAGAGATATGGCAATCTTCCACTACTTTTTTATTCATTATATTTAAGAAAATAAAGTCAGAAAATTGTCAAAGTCTATAAACTTTGACAATAATAATAATAACAAAACTAATACGTAAAAATACAGTTACCTGATTAAAGTCTACATATCCGATTGAATAAAGTTAAAGTACAAGTAAATGACATTAGAATAATATGGTATTGGTACTCAACAAGTCGAAACCTGATATTATATCAGTCTCGGCAACAATGCATTTTAATTTATTCTTTATCGACGTCATCCTCAGTAAAATTAATCTAACGAAAGCATAAATAAACCAAATCGACACTTCCTCGTATTAAAAAGCACGTTTTACTCAATACTTACGCTAGAAACATAATTTCAATCAACATTAGGATCTAAGCTCTCACATGCCACCATTTAAGGATCACAGGAATCTTCTACAAGAAATTCTTGTTTTAAGCCGTATATGCATGAACTAATAATAAAATATAAGATTAAAGATTACTAAATTTCGAAAACTACAGCCTCGATTGTCAATGTAAGTATACGACTACAACTTTTGACATTACTTCTATTCCTCGTACCAATTCTTTGTCAGAGAGCATGATACCACCCCATCCGAGCAGATTTTAACTCAATAAATCTAGGAATACAGCTAAGAAACAGAGGAAGGGTCGTAAAAATGAATGAGCTTACGTTTAGGTCTTCGTTGTTAATACTTTGCTGATTTCACCTTCCCTACATACGCCCACATCAATAACCATGCCTTTTCTCTTTGATTCCAAGACTCGGCAACAATTTCTCCTCGGAGACTGCCCAAAAACAATATAAAACCAGGGTCATAATAAAGATCAAGCAAATTCAATTTTCAAAATTTATCTGCTACATAGAATTAAAAGTGATTAGCTGTCAATTTAAAAGTAACCCTCAACTTGACTTTTAATGCAAGAATTTTCTTTATATTGGGTGCAATAGTAGTCTTAGCACGCATTTTCATCCAACGCAGAACTTGATAGTAAACAAGAGTCAATTATGAGATATAAGGATACACATACCCTATTCCAGAGCAATGGGTCGGGTTTCTTGAGAACCTCCACTTTATCAACTTCAGCCGGGTTAGCCATCTTCCATCTGCATTTTGGATGAGGAACTATATGGCGAGTGTATTCGCTCACCGTTATATTTGTACGATAATTCATTCTTGCTTTCGACATGTAAAACACGAATGGCTTTTGACACGGGTTTCTCATAACTGGCCTTGTGTTGAATGCATATGCCGTGTAATCTGCTCTTCTGTACCAATTCAAGAAAGTTCTTGATCCGTAGAGGTAGAGGGCCCCGCTATGCACCCCACGAAATATTTGAACAGCAAACCCCCAAGAAACGGAAACTGTCCAACCATTTGATTCGTCATAGCAAATGGATTGTTGCATCAAACCGGCTGAATCAAGACTCATAGGAATTTTCAAACGCTGTAGAGCTTGCACTCGAGTAACATTGGGAAAGATCGGCTCCACCACATCAAGGTGGTGCAAAGACACTAATGGTGTGACAGGGTGTGCTGCTAAAAGACCAAACAGGTTTCCATACACGTCGTACTGAATAGCCATCCAACAAGAACAGTCAACGTTAGAATTAGTGACAACCTTTCACTACTAATTTATTGAAATCTACCGAATCAACCATAAACTCAATCATTAACCACAAAACCTACTCCGTTCCACTACTAATCTTTTTTTTCATAAAGCACTGGTCAAACTATGATGTTTAAATGAATCTAGAATTCAAATTGTCAATTAAAATTTGAAAAACAATAATTAACCCTAATCAACATTCATTACACCATCTTTAATAGCACTGCTATCTTCTTTTCTTAACTAAACATTTTTATTACTCCGAGACCAGTAATGACTGATTTGAATGAACAGTCTTACCAGCCAATTTTAGAATGAACAGACTCACATCTACAAGCACAAACTGCATTCTTTTCTTACATTTATTAGAACAATTTCTAATACTATCTAACAAACGCATTGTGGCAGAGAAACACAAGAAAAGACCTCAAGAAAAGAACATAAAACTGTAAAAGGGCAAAAAGGAAATCAAGAGCATAATTCACCTGGTGAAAACCGAGTTCTTTAGTGAGTGGGACACCGAGTTCAGCCATACAAGCCTGCATTCTATCGTCAGAACCATATAATCCAGGGTACCTCTGAATGCACCTATCTTGCATTTTCTCAAGGGCTTTAGCCAAAGGGTAGCTTATAGCAAAACCCCCACCACCATAAGCCATTCTATAAGAAAAATAAATATTCTGCAAATGACTTTCACTCGAACTCCCAATGTAATAATACTGATTGTGATCATATTTGTTCAAAATCCTCACCAAATTATCTGTTGCAAACACTGTATCATCATCTCCCATTACAAACCATCTTACATTCTCCATCCCCAACCTTAGAGTCTCCGATACTATCCGAGAAATCCGAATCGCTGACCGGTGTCCCTGCTTGTTCTTGTAAGAGAATCTCGATGTGTTCCCTGATATTCTCAATTGTGGGAGGCTCCCTGATTCATTTCTATAAGTTCTTACATGGCTATCGAGCCAAACAATACCCCTCATTTTCCTTTCAGGCTTCCACCATAACTTTATGTACTCCTTTCGCTTTTGCCACAGCTTGGCCGATGCTGCAATGCCAAAAACTATGTGTTTCAAACCCGTTTTCTCATCGTTTTCTTCGCCCAATTGGGGAGGGGATATCATCGATGATATTATCGCAGCCGTGTCGTTCTTCTGAAGGGCAATGCTATTGCTGCGAGAGAGGAAAATATCTTCATCGCAACTCGGAGAAGAGGAAAGGAGCTTTAATGTGTACACTACATAAGTGGCTGAAACGAACCATATCAGCCACACCATAAGCTTGGGCAAGGATTTACCCTGCGAGCCCGACATGGAAATGGGTGCCCCGGATGGGATTCTAATCTGATCCCAGAAATTTTTCTCCGAATTATTCTGGTTCACTTTCATTATTTTTTATCAAAAACCCAGGAAAAAAAAAACAACCAAAAAGAAAAAAAAGGAATCAAGAACAGAAATAAATTCCACTTTATTAATAACTTTTCGAAAAAATTCTTGGAGAAAAAAATGGGCTAATACAGTTCGACTTTCGATTTTTGAAGGTATTTTGAAGGGGCAAAATATACGGATCTGGGAAAAGAAAGATGGGATTCACCTTTATTGACGAACATTAATTCAATAAATAAGAATCAAGAAGAAGGGTAAAGGAGAGCATGTTGCTCAATCTCCTCAGAAAGAGTTATTCATAAAGATTTTGGCTCCATCATCACTGCGAAAGTGTAATTATGTTAGTATATAATACTGTACAAATAAATAATCTGATGTTTGAGGACGTAGATACATACGGATGTATGTAAGTAGAGGAGCGAGTGTGGGAGATCTACAGACTTCTTATATAACAAAGCGTGGACAGAGATATATTTGCGCGGCTTCGTAGGTAGGACCGGGGTCGCTCAATTATAATTTATATAATCACTTATAATTCAATTTTAAGTTAAAATTATTTTGTAATGTAAAAAGTTACTGTTTGGAACATGAATTTTAGTTCCCACATGTCCTTTTTATATTCAATAGAATGTCATCATTTTACAATCGAAGATATAAAATTCAATTCCACGATCCTATCATTAATTCCATTTTTTTCTTTTTAGGTTGAAAAAAGTCTATGAATCTTATCTTGTCTACTAATTCAAGAAATGTTATTTGACATACGCAGGTAATGATCCAAATTCGTCATTATGGTATGTACGAAACATATAAATGATATAGATGAATCCGTCAATGAATTTTAAATTAATTTTTTACTTTTGAACTAATTATGATGTGATTTAGACAAAAAGAGTCGATATAATTTTTCATTATCAACGAGCACTTTAAAGAAAATTAAATTTAAATTAGCTTGATATGAAATCACAAGTTTCCAAACAAGGCCTTAATTTTCACATAGAACCCAAAAGGGAAGAGTAATGCTACAAAACCCAACATTTTTATAAACACTGGTCTAGGTGTCCATTAAGTGGTTTTACATTTTAAATTAGATAAGCAACTAATATATAAAAAATCAATTATAAATTAATCTATTTTTTCTTATAACGACTTATAAATTTCTATTTAATTTTTTTTATTTAGAAAAATAGGAGGAAACGATGAAAAATGAGAGAGAGAAAATTTTAACTATTGGCAATTTTTGGTGGTAATTTACAATTGGTAATCACAATTAACTATTCTATCAAAATAGAATGGTTTTGACATTGATTGAAACTAACTTATTTGGTAGGGGTGATAGCGAGTCAAGGTGGGATCATAATTAAATTATCCTTATTTTCCATCTATGTCTTGATTTTCCATTAGTAAATGGTATTACAAATCTGTTCAAGATATGATAACACAATGCAGAACGAGACATTTTGTCATCCCTAATTAAAACAAGGAAACTTAGTATACGTTAACAGGTAAAAGCGAGAATAATATTAAAAGAGACGTTAATATTAACGTCTTTGGATAAGAGAGTTAGGATGCGATTTATCAAAGTTGTGAGACGGGAAATGTTGTGGGATTGCATTGACGAATTATTGTGAAGTTGATGTCGTGCAAAATCGCAATCTAAGAGATGTTTGGTTGAAGTGGCTATTCAAGTGCCTTTGATGTAAGTTACTGCGCACTTTGAATACACATATTAAAGGTGCAAAACTGAAATCTCTGCAAATCAAAGTGTGGAGGCTACGATGATACGTGCTTCAATACTCAAGTTAGAATCCCACTGATATATATTTGGTACGGGAGAGACACAAAAACAAAGAAGAAAAATGAAAAAAATGGGGTTTATATTTCTAGAGTGAGTACCAAACTTTCATCACCTTCCAATATCAACAAGTGGGAGAATTTATAGGGAAAGGATTGAGCTTGAAGTGAGTTAGATGCTTGACACGTTATCTCATTACAACGACTAACACGTCAAGCGCTAAAACGTCACATCCTACCCATCATATGCATGTGACCTCCCACACATTGTCCTAGATAGGAAATATGAAATTTGACTCTTAATCGCTGTTGTAGAGTTATCACATCAATCATATCACACGTGGCTCAACGTGTTAGGCTACAATTGTACCAAGATAGGAGGCTTTGGACCTTAACCGCCACAAAGTTCAGAGGTCCATATAACATGGTTAAATGCTGGATCCTTGCTTTATCGCTTCAAATAAGAGAAGTAACAAGTCTGGGTAGAATTATGTCGTCTCGAATGTTATCATCAGCAAGAAGTTGGTGGTGCTCCCAACGCCTTGTAAGATAATGGTTGACGAACGATGGTTACTATGGAGACAAGAGATAGTGGGGACCATTTGCCCATACTTGAGTGCCTTAGAAATACTTACATGGCATTTTGCTTAGATGACAGTCGTGAGACTTGCCACACATGTAGAGAGGCGTAACAGAAGATTTAACACCTTGGATCTTGTCTTCATTAAATACCATGTATTTAAATCTACAAGATAAATAGTTAACTTTCTAATTTTAATTTGCAAAATTAGATTTCATTTAGTCGGTTCGTGCTATACGAATGTTGAATTAGTTAATGGATGCGACACCAATGAAAGTAGATACTTTTACAAATATTCCAATAGAATTTTTACTTATTGTCCTGGAGATTGCATACATGGTTGTGTAACTTGTTCGTAGTTATAGAATTTCATTTGATAGGTCATCGTCCGAGGTGCAAATGATTGATCACTCTTTTAAAAGTCTTTTCACTTTGACATTTCAATGGGCACCATGCCCTAATTTTTCTTGTGAGTTCCAAGTTAACAGATGGGCTAAGTCGAGCCGTCACCCAACCGCTCGAGTCCAATGGTCAAACTCAACCCCATTTGACACCACTAAGTCTTATTACATGGCCCGACTCAATAGGAATCCTCATACATGAAAGCTATTCAAACTTCATGGTTAAAGGAGTCCAAACGAGCGTGTCGGTCTAGAACTGGCAATGGGTCATCTCTATTATTAGTCTGGGCTTGGAGCGAACCAGTTAAATTTTCATGGGGATCAAACTGGTCCCTGGCCTGCCTCTAAAGTGGGCCGGTATCGTTGGATTGGGCCCAACCACTGGACTAATTCTGCTTTCTAAACCATTGGACTAATTGGGTAGACGACAAGTTAAACAATACACCTCAACTTCCATGTCAGATTCGGAAGAGGAAATTACACCAAACCATGTCTTTTCTTTTACATTTTAAAAATTCAGGTTTTTAAGTTTTTTATTCAATTATCAGGTTTTTATAATTTTAATTAATAATGATTTTATAAAATTAAAATAACATATATACCCACCCCACTAT